CTTCCCTACTTAAAAGTATTTACATCTGTGTGTTAAAGTATTTCACACTTTGTTTCAACTGCAAATGATGTTTTTTTTCTGTAAATATATATTAAAACGCACTTATATACTTTAATTTTTTTTTAATAATATTATTTACTTTATATGCGATAAAAGAGGATAATTAAACTAATTTTCGATATTTTAAATTATTTACTATTAAAATAAACCACTATCAGATATAAAATAGAGTTTTATTTAAAAAAAAAACTACGACCGCCGACCTTGTATTGCGTTGTGACGCCACACGACGCGCCGGCGGTCGTAGCTAGAACCTGTTTGCCATACGACCGCCGGTGTTCGAAGCTAACTGAATACATGTCCACGAGAGGCCAGCACTAAGCATGCAGAAAACGTCGTACGATGCCAGGAAAATTTAACCTTGAGTAAAACTACATTGTTTACGTATACCGACGGTCGTATGGCGCTGTAAGGGAATTTCCATTACAACGGCGCGCGCGTCGCATGGCGTTAAACGTGTTAACATGCAAACGTGTGAATGGCATGCATTCAAAGGGTTGCTGACTCTGGAAACTTAGCCAAGCAATGGAATTGTTTGGCTACACACATGGGGTAACACTCACACAATGAGAAACAATGCCACACTGAGCAGGAAAACACATGGGTCGCCCTATGCTTTTGTAAAATTAGCAGGAGGTCACGTGAGTACACCAATGAAATCCAAAGCAATCAACGAAAACCAAGACAAATTTTTTGTGAAAAAAATTGATGAAAATCGAAACCAGCGATAACCAAAGTCAAAGAAAACCAGAGTATTACTGTATTATATAAAAATTTAGTAACTGACTGCTTGAGTGCAAAACTATTACTTATAAGAAATAATTGATGCAAATATTTTGCTTTGAATAATATAATAGTTTGTAAGAATATTCCTGAAAAATAATTCAGAAAAATAAACCCTAAATTGAACATTTTTCATTTAATATAAAAACAACAACAACAACCATAAATTCTAATAAAATTTGTTTATTTTAAAATGTTTTCAATCTTACTGAAAAATCTTCTTCAGTCTACAATAAATATTAATAGAATAATTCAACTATTGTGAAAAGGAAACACTATTCCTTTTACTTTTATTACATTATATTCTGTTAATTTAATTTTTTGGGAGAGATTTTGTTCAGTTTTGGGTGACAACTTTATTCTCCTGACCACAAAACAAAATTCTAAATTATCATACTTCTCACTAGGACATGATCAGTAATGCAGAAGGCTAACAAGGAGACCCTACGGCATTGGAGAAACAGATTTTGTTGATCTTTGGTGTAGAGGTAGTACACCATGTGAGTGTACTACCTGTAAAATAGTAAAGTGCAATACTCAAATATAATCATGAAAAACGAACTTAAAGTTTTCTTAGCACTTTATATACAAGTTATGCATGCTTCCTCTTGAGTATCCTGTGGCTAAGTGGTAACGATCCTGACTTGTACTTTTGAGTGCTCAGGTTTGATTCTCATGTATACTTTTTTCTTTCCTTTTTTTTCATTCATTACTTATAATGTATTTATTTATTTACTCATTCATTTATTTTAATTTAATTTCTACTATCCCAAGTCTAATATTTTTACTTTTGTTGACAATAACTGTGCATTCTTGACATTTATGTGTCAACTTTCCCATCTAATTGTGACCTCCGATCTAATTCTCACTAGGAGCCTTTTTTTCTATCAGAGTTCTTTTTCACTCACTCTTTAACAGTTCGTTTCTGAATTTCAACACAAATAGACATATTTGTGCAGTGAAATTTATTTTGAAAAATTAATTTATAATTAAAATAATGTCATCAAGAGAAGCAAGTTTTTCATGTTGTAACAAAAAAACTGTTGATGATAACTCCTTATACAGTGATGTATTGAAGCAGTGGCTAAAAGATGGAGTAGTGTATTATGACAGTTTACTTTCCAAAAATAATTTAATTGCAACATCATCTTCTGATACACTATCTGAAAATGCTATGCTGATAGGCACAGAATTACACAAAAATGCATTGGATGTGTTGAATGAAAAAAATTTTTAAATGTTGCAATTAAATTATTTTCGGAAAATAAACTCTCATAATACACTACTCTGTCTATTAGCCACTGCTTCGATACAGTTCGAAAAATTTCGTTTTTCTCGATTATATTTGAGTATTGCACTTTAGTATTTTACAGGTAGTACACTCACATGGTGTACTATCTCTACACCAAAGATCAACAAAATCCGTTTCCCCAAAGCTGTAAGGTCTCCTTGTAAGAAGAAATATGAGTATACTTAAACAGCATACTAAGTTATCAAGTTACATAGATTGATTGTGTAAAAAAAAAAAAAAACATGGTAAATGATGTGCAAGATTCTGAAGTGGTGATATACTGGGTTCAAATCCTTACAAAAAAATTGTTTTAAAAAGTGTTATATATATACTGTATATATGTAATACTGCTATAATTATTTTAGTTATTTTTTAGTTAATTTGACTTTTTGAAACTTTCATATTCATTGTAATTTATTGTATATAATATTACAATGATTATTATCACTATTCTCAAGATCATATGACCAAATGGACATTAGTATCTTATATATCAATGTTCATTCCTCTATAACAACATGATGCTATGAGTGACTGTAATTGATGTATAATTTTTAAGTATTCAATTTTATTATTGCACATAAAATATATATGTAATTATTAACTACATATTTTTTCTTTATGAAGTAGTTTGTCAGGAAAAAATGCATGAATATTTACCTACAGAAAATATAAACTGTGTAATAAGAATTTAATTCTCTAATTAAAGTAATGAAAAAAGCTTTGAATAATCACTGTTGGTTTTAAACTCATTATTTTTGGATTGAGTAATAATGCATTCTTTATTACATACAATAAATTTTGTAAAGCTAATATTACTCTTCAATTATTTTTAACTTAATTTGTAGTATTTGTCAATCATAGAAATAATTTGTAATTGTCTAATTTATTTTGTATCACTGCCTATAATAGAATTCTCCTATTACAAAAACAACTTTTAAATATTTAAATAATATTGTAAATGTTTAAATACAGACTAATAATCTTAAACTTATAATTAGTTAAAAAATAAAATATATCTAATTATAATTCTGGAGATCTCAATTCTAATGTAGCATTCACATTGTAAATGACTATCTACCAGATTTGCAAAATTTAATTTTAAACTATTTTTTTATAACTATATGGCAGTTTGTAATTGCTAGATTATCTTAAGAAATAAAACAGTATATGTAAAAAATAATTATAATTTAGTATGATGTAAAAATTTACCTTATCATAAGGAATAAGAGAAGTTTCAACTCTGGGAAATAAATCTTGCAAAATTTCATTAAAAATTTTCAAGTCACTAGATGTCAATACTGAAGTATTCATTTGCATTATTGCTACCAATAAGATCTAAAAATAATAAAATAATATTAGGTTAAAATAAAAATTATTACAAATATTGTTCAAAAATAATGCACCATAATTCATATATAGAAACAAAGACTGTGTCATGGCTCCACTTTTGAGGAGTTGTATCTGGAAGCTCTTGCTCCTGTTGTGCAAAATTTTAAGTCCTGCTATCAGGTGGGGCCATTGCAGCTTTGTTTAAAAAAGTTGGCAATTGTCAGCAACATACATTCCATTCCAAGTAGTGTGCAGTGAGAGAATTCCTCATTGCTAAGAGATAAACTATTAGAAATATTCACAAGCAATTGTGTGATGTCTTTAATAATGTAATTGTCAGCCAAAGCACAGAGAAAAAAGTGAGGTCGACAACAGGAATGGTAGATCTCTTGACTTGGCATAGAGTGGTTTTCCCATCATAACTATCATGGTAGTCATGATGTAACATGTTGATGAAATGACTCAAGAGGAACAGTGCATTACAGTTCCACAGTTAGAAGATTTGTGCATTAGTATAGGAAATGTTCATGGGAACATTCCCTGTACTAACGCACAAATGAACTTTGCCAATGTGTGTTCCTGATGGGTCTCCAGGTCACTCATGACTAACTAAAAAATAGCAAGGAAAACCACTGCATCAGAACTATTGCAGCACTACAAGTTTGAAATTAATGAGCATGAGGCTTTCATCATCACCACAGATAAAACACAAATACACCACTTTAAACCTGAAACAAAGCAATAATTGCTAGAATGGCACCATCTCCACTCACAGAAGAAAAAAAAAACACAGAAAACCCATACTTTCCAGCAATTACTGTTTAATAAAAAAAACATTTTCAGACACAATCAGGAGTCTGCATCAGGTTAAGCATATACAAAATCAAATGTTTATAGCAAATTCAAAGTTTAGTCATTCAACTTTGTATACATTTAACCTGATGCAGGCCATTGAATGTGGCTAAAAACATTTGTTTATTAAACAGTTATTACTGAAAAATGCTAATTTTTGTTACATATTAGTTCCAGCTTATAAAGTCAACAAAAAAAAAAAATAACAGTCATTTCATCAGCAGGAAAGATTAAGATCAGTAGGTTTTGGGACATTCACAATGTCATTTTGATGGATGTCATGCTGAAAGGAACCACCATTAACTCAGATGTTTATATCACTATACTGAAAAAGCTGAAGAAGCAGATAAGAGAAGAACCTGTGCAACCTGCTCCTTCAGCATGACAATGCAAGGCCACACACAAGTTTGCAGACTCATGAGGTGATTGTAAAAATCAGTTTTACAGAATTTTCATATCCATTGTACAATGCAACTTAGCACTGTCAAATTTCTACTTTTTGACCTCTTTTTTCACTGGCAGAGAAAAGTTAACAGAATGAATTGAAACCAAATTGAAAAATAAATGTTAATTGTCTGCTATTTAAGTGATCAAGTTAAAAATTGAGTGATTGATCATTTAAAAAAAATTATATACATGTATTCTACTAGCTTAATTAAGTAAAAGTTAGTAGACAGTCAAACAAACAATGAGTGAAATAAATAGTTAACAAAAAATTGAGTTCTTCAAAAATTTATAATTATTATACAAAATTAGTGAAATGTAAAACATATAATCATATAAAGCAACAACAACTGTCATATGACATCGGGCTAAATAATGGCTACAATAATTATATATTACTGATAAATTTGACACTAGAGGGAGGTGTTAGGCACCATCTCATATTAAATTTAATAATTATAATTTAATTAAATAATTTTATATTAAACTGTAAGAAAAGAATAGGCCTGAAGCTGGACTTAAACCCACAACTTCCACTTGCCATGCGGATGCATTGCAATTATGCTATCATCAGACCAGAAGTTAAAACTATTTACAACATACAAGAATTATTTTCAGACAGTTTTGTGATGACAGGAGAAAAACAATCAATGGTGCAATCTTGCATCATCAAAGAGATCCCTTCTCCCCCATTGTTAGCAAACATGAGATACAAACAAATCCCCACTCCCTAACTACTGATGTAATATTTTAAAAAGTATAATATTAAAGATTAAATACAAAAAACTTTTCAGTCTTCTGAACATTCATTCACAATCACCAAAACAAAATTAACACTAGCAGAATTGACTTTTCTTTATAGGCTCTTCCCTGCTGATATTTGTGCAAATTGCATTTAAGTATTACATAAGTAATACTTAAATGCAATTTACATTTGTAAATTTAACCCTGTAAATGGTCTTCATGGATTATGTGGGGTTACCTGTATCCCATGCTTATGCTACTGATTCTACATTAAATTCTAAAATATTGATTTATAATTGATAGTTTGAAAGATTTTTAATAGAAATACTACCTCTTCATCTGTTTTTGATGGAAATTCTCTTTTTTTCATTATGGCATACTTCAATAATGCCACTAAACTTTTCAAATTGAAATTATAATGATTCTGTTTGGATAAGTAATGTGCAGACAATTTATATAATACAAATACTTTTTTGGCCAATGCCTAGAAAATAAAAAAATAAAGTTATAATATTTAATTAAACATTCTGTTACTGGTTTTGTTGTGGATTTTAAAGAATTAAAAGCTATTGGCTTTTTTCAGTAACATATCATACAAGGAGCAGTTGTTGATATAATAAGCTTTATTGATGGAAAAAATGCTTTTGGGTCAGATGCAACTGTGAACTTAAGGATGACCTGAACTCTGCCTGGCTCTACCTTATGTTACATTAAATACTTTGTTTACTCTTTTTGGCATTTTTAAACACCATCCACCTCATATTTTCTACCCATCTACAGCAACCCTTGTAAACAGATTCTACTCAGTCAATTACCCAATATTTTCTTTAATGTCAATTTGTAACCAATAATCAACTATTATAAGGACTGAAGAGGGATCATCAAGACCCAAAATGCATTTCCTCCATCAATAAAGCTTATATCAACAACTACTTCTTGTATGATATATTACAGAAAAAAGCCAATAGCTTTTAATTCTTTAAAAGTTATAGTATTTTATTTTTTTGGAAACTTTTATATAATTTTAAATTATTATTCTTTATAACTTTAGTTATTATTGTGCCATTCTAAAAATTTAATTTATTATTAATTAAACATGTGAAATTTAGTTGTTCTCAATATTTTGAGAATAGATAATTGACAATGTTTTATTTTAATAGATTTCTAATATTAGCAAATTAAATGATAATTCTAAACATCAGTGGCGTGCCATAACATTTGATGATAGGGAAGCTGTGTTTCTGTAAGAAGCTGACTTCCAGGGGCAATCAGTTAATTGCGCTTCAGTGATGGTCGTATTCAGTGATGGTGATGGTCGTATTCGTTTGTTCGATAAGCCAGTAAAAACTGTAGACTTCTCTAGATGTATTTGTAATAGATTATCTGACGTACTTAATAAATAAGCAAGTTCAATAATTATTCCTGTTATTAGATTCAATAGATTCTCTATGCCTCTAAATGCCAATTCTTGTTTTGATAAAAAACATATAACATCTATTAATTTAGATATATTATATCTATTAACCGTAACTATCTTGTTACAATTTTCGATATTTATTTTCTATTATTTATTGATGTTAAATTCTATTCTGCTTTGATTTCCAAATTGCTTCAATTTTATGAAAGAATCGATGAAACATTTACAATTTTCATGTCTTTTGCCAGTTTTACGCAAATTATTTAAATCGTCAAAGCCATTCTTATTCCATACACTAATTTCATTTGAAAATAGTAGACAAGGCCACCAAAACAATTTTTGCATTTTTTGCATGCATCCACAAACCATTTAATGTCTTCATAAATTTTATTGTGAAAATGTTGAACAAACTTTTTTGTTGACGTATTTATATTTAATTTAGGCATTGGTCTTTCTCTTTTAATAATGTTTTCTTTTTCATTACATAGTCTTGAGCCAAAACTTTTTAAAAATAAATTTTTAATATCACAATTACATTCTGAATTGCTAGCCATTATATAAGGGCTAAAATTAAAAATAAAACTTACTTGGTGAAATAAAATTTGTGATGGATGTACAGTACATACTAGTACAAAATATACTTCAATTGTATGAATATACTTTTAAAGAAAAATTTTTTTAAATATAGCTTTGCAAAGAGATATACCTGTACATAATAACAACAAGATATTCTTTACTTTTTAAATCTTAAAACAATTCACTTAGTCAAATAGATCCCTACAAGTGGCTAACGAATAAAATCAGAGTAGGTTGCAGTGCGTGCATACATAAAATCAGAGTAGGTTGCAGTGGAGTGCCAAAACCTGAGAATGTTGATACTGGTCAATGTCAAATGCTTCTTTTGTCGCATCACTAGTATACCTCAAAGGACGTGATAGGGTTGTTGTAGATTTTAACGTTTCTTACCATAGCTGTAAAAATCTAAATATGTTAAACTTAATAGTCATTTCTTTTATAACTAATTCACTTTAGGACCAGGTTTCCACGAAATTTCCAAAATTTACAACTTTTCGATCAATCTCATTGAATTGGAAAAATTTCTGTCTTTATTACATCTAATATTACAAAGAAGTCAGTCCCCACTGTACTTGGCTAGAGATTGATTCGGTTAAGCTTTTAAGTAAAATTCCGGTTCTTTCGTCAGCGTTTTATTTATATCCCTAATTCCCTATTCTCTTAATTATTTAACTATTTCTTAGGTAGAAATAAGATGAAACCAGTTACTTTGTACTTGAATATATGTAGTCTCAGGAAAAAAGTGGAAAGACAAATTTTTATGACAATGGATACATAAATCGTAAATTTAAGGAAAATAAATTCTAGAACTTTTTCTGTACCTTGTGCATTCATTAAATTTAGTTGTAGATGACGCTGCCAAAATAACAGTTAATTTTTTAATATTATACAAAAATTGTACACGTTTTTTCTACATCCCCTTATAGAAGGGATATACAAAATCGTAATATCACTGATTTAACATTGAAATCTGTAAGTAATACAAGATGGGAGAGCAGAATACATATATCAAATATTTTAATGAATTTTTTAAAAACTCCTGTCAACTATACAGAACTATCATAAAAACATACCAGTAAATGCCTATCAGTTGGGCTAAGTTATAAATCTACTCGCAATTCACATAATCGGGCGAGGGCAACCAAACATCTAGCTGGCAGGCGGCTAACAGCCTAGAACTGGTCCTGGATGAAATCATTGGAAGCATTATATGGTATTTTGGTGTGTAGCTTCCACCAGCTAAACAGCATGAGGTTGGTGCTCTGTAAAGCACATGCTCAAATGCCTATAATCTGGCTGCTTTAGTTACACCATTCAAATATTTTTTCCATGGAAGCTGTCCAATATTCAACAATGCAGCACTTCCATTGGGAATATGCATTGTGGCCGTCAGCCATATTAATGTATAGATTTTGTATATATTTTATGTTCTTTGTCTTCACTATTCTAAAACTTTCTTTCTTAATCCTTTTCCCCTCGGGTGGGATCACTGATTCTCAGAACAAAGTAAGACAAAGGAGATAATGAACCCCAGAGGGTTTGAAAGAGCAAAAAGGCTCAGTTTTGATCAAGATCTTGACGCAAGAGGAAGCACTGTAGAGTTGTGCTCATGGTTACAAGCAGAGCAATCAGAGGCACCAAAGACTTATGAAAAGAGCTACAGAATCTAATCCGATAGAGTTAAGTCAGCTTTTGTATTTCTCCTGAATTGTCACAGAAAGAGTGAAGTCAGGAGAAGATTTTTCCAAAAGCTAAAATTTTCTTACCAAGGAATCTGGAGTGAAGCAATTATAAGGAAACTTCAAAAGGAAGGTGGACTGGTGCAGTACAGAAAAACAACACAGATAAGTGCAGGAATCAACTGAATATTGGTTAATGGTGGCCCACCTGAGACACATGACTAAAAATCCCCAGGTGCTTCTTTCTTTCCCTTCTCCTATTTTTACCATATATTCTTTTTCTCCTCCTTAGTTTACATTTATGTTAAGTCATAGTTATAAGTCCTTGCACTAATATTGTCACGTATTGGTCAGCTCAATCATACAAAGGAACATTTGATTGTTGTATATGCTTAATTACTGCCTGTGGGTTGGGATCGTTATTATTTGAACCTATTTGAGGCAAATAAAATTGATTTGTGTTATAGACTTTACTGTATTAAATTTCTTTTATGTATTCTTTTATGTTCATGGAACCACATATACATTGCTTCGAACATCACATATATATGAATTTATAGTCAAATATATAATAGCAATCTTATCATTTTTTTCACATGAGTATAGAAATTGTAATATGATATATAATGTGGTTATAATAAAATATAAATTTTAATTAATTCAAAGTATGTTAAAATATGAAAATAAGCATAGAATATATATTTATATTTTAGAAAATACAAGGAAAGCAGCTTCCATCGCTTCCAAGGATGGCATGCCACTGCTAAACATGCCATCAATGGAGATGTGGAAACCTAGGCATTCTATTCTTTTCATAATAGTACAATAAACATAATACATAAATTATAACATGTAATTTACCCATGATAAAGATGCAGTAAGTAAATTAATTAAAAATGATTTATTTGTTGTAAGTTGGATTTTACCTTCTTGAATTATATGTATAGAATTCACTGGCTAGGCTTAGAAGATTTATTCTATAATTCTACAACAATCAACTAGTCGCGACTTGTATGAGTATTAACATAAATATGTCAAAAGTAAAGCTCTAAACTGTAGTGTATGCAACTATTGTAAATATTTTTATCTTGTTTTGTTTTTTTTTTCTTTTGTATTGGTGTTTCGTTAGCTGTGTCAGGTTTTTTTTGGTTATATCAGGTGCAGTTCATTTTGTCAGATTTCACCTGTTATTGGGTCATGCGAATACACGTTGCCTATTGGCTAACCTTTAGACCACATGACGGGAAAGATTCCCGGATGGAGGGAACTATAAAAAGATGTGTATGACTTGAGTGAAGATCTATTTTTTTTTGTTTCCTTGGCACTTTTGGATGTTTATCAAGTGAAGATTTGACCTAGTCTGTTTGTCCTGCATGAATGTAATCAAAGAAAAAAAAATTTTTTTTTCATCGGAGGTTAATCAACAGTAAGGCATAGAAGATATGCATGAAGAAGATTAATAAAATTAAGAAGACTGTTAATTTTAATACAATCGGGTTTTGTCGAAGAGCGCATGGTGAATATATAGGATATTCTAAAAAAATAAAAGATCGATAACTAGAAAGGTCTGTTCTGTGCCAGGAGGATTGAGTTACACATGTCGTTTAATCCTGTAAATATTGTATTTTGTCTATGCTCACTTTTGTGCAATATATTTGTTTGATTTGTCAGAGAAATCAAAAAATTGTAATCAATTAAGTGTGGTGTCTAACCCTTGTACTTCATAGTGTTGAGCTAACTGATAGCTGGGATGTATATAAATAAATGTGTTATCAGTTTTCTGATGATTATCTTCTGAAGTCCTCATTTTTCTACCCTCATATAGACATACTATACCTTGGTATATTAACCATCTCCACAAAACTCATTCACATTGTTATTCATATAGCTTGGTATGAATAAGTTCATATAATGTTATTTGCATAATGTAATACAAACTTGACAAGTGAACATCTTATTGAACATATTGGTCAGCCAGTCACAGTGTATCAACAAATTGTCAAGATATATGATATAATACAAAGATTTTTCATTGTAATATTTGATTGAATATCTGTTATAATCATATCTCAAACTTTATCATTGTTCATTTTTTGCCTTGCTCCACTTATTACAAATATCATTAATTTAACAAACTTTCTTTTGCTCACCAAATTTTTTATATAACAATTGTCAGTCACACATTCCAAAAATAAGATGTAAAAAACTTTAAAAAGTATTTTTTTTAAATTTAACACAAAATATCATTATTATGTACTAAAAACTTTTTTCATAATTTTTATAGAAAATATTATTCCTTATGAAACAATATTACAGATAAATCTATATATTTAACAACATTATATATTTTGTTTATTATTTGTAATCTCATTTATACAAAATTGAACGGTACTTTGATTTTATAATATCTTGATAAAATTTACAATATGAGCTTTAAATAAATCATATGTTCAAAAATGTAGATTGATTCTGTAAAAATTAGTTAATAAAAAATCAATAGATTGAAAGTTAATTTATACACTAATCAATAAGCAGAATAATAAATGATCAATTCATTAAAAATTAATCCATTAAATGGTTATAAATGATCATTCAAGTATTGGGTTGTACCAAAAGTTCATTTGGGTATTTACATAATCGCTCATCTGTGGCACCTCTGTTGTGCTTATCAAGTTTTAACTTGTTTAGGTTGACATTACAAATATCTGCCTATTTATTATGTAAGTTTAATTACAGCTATTTTTTAAAATTTTGTTAACTTTTAAGAAAAAAAAAAAACATTAAAATGGAATATAAGAAGGTGCATTTTCAACATCTGATGCTCTATTATTTCCAAAAAGGATAAATACAACAAAAACTCAAAAAAAGATATGTGCTGTATATGGGAAGGATGCAATTACTGATTGAACATACCAGAAATGGTTTTCAAAATTCAGGAAGGAAGATTTTTCTCTCGAAGATGCACCTCGGTCAGGACGACCTTCAACCATAGAACTATGAGTCTGTAACAGCTTTAATTCAAAATGATCAGCATAAAACAACATGAGAGATAGCCACAATCTTAAAAATATCCCAAACATCTGTTGTTTGGGATATTTTTGGCTACATTTGGCTAGCCTTGGATACACTTCCCGTTATGATGTTTGGGTTCCCCATAAGTTAAGTAAACCTTATTGAGTGTGTTTCTATATGTGATTCACTTTTAAAACGCAATGAAGATGATCCCTTTGTAAAGCAATTAATAACAGGTGATGAAAAATGGATCATTTACAACAATATTCAACGCAAGAGATCTTGGAGTAAGCCAAGTGATCCTCCAGTGCCACAACCTAAAGCTGATTTGCATCCCAGAAAAGTAATGATTTCAGTTTGGTGGGACTGGAAAGAGGTTCTTTATTATGAGCTTTTACCCAACAACCAAACAATTAATTCCAATAAATATTGTCTCGAACTGGATGGCTGCAGTGCATCAAAAAGTCCAGAACTTGCAAATCGACGGGGAGTGGTATTCCATCATGATAATGCAAGACCGCACATATCTTTAAACGTGCGCCAAAAACATCTAGACTTTAATCTTTTTTGTTCATTGCAGAATAATTTAAATGGCATAGAATTTCAATCTCTAGAAGGTATCAAAAATCACATTGGTAATTTCTTCAATCAGAAACCCACCCAATTCTACACAGATGGAATTATGAAACTACCCGTCAGGTGGCGTAAGATTATTGAACAGATTAGTGAATACATCATAAATTAAACGTTTTTATTTATTTCAAAATAGTATATTTTATTTCTTTCTAAAAATTGAATGAACTTTTGGTTCAACCCAATAAATTAACATTTCATGAATTTTTTATAAATGGATACTTTTATGATAAACCACAAACTTATTCTCTCTCAATACTTTAACTATCACATCAATAAACTGATATTCAACTGACTGACGAAATGTAGGAAACAGATACATTCCTGAAATATTACTTCCCACATACTATATAATTGTCCTTATAATAGAATTAGATACAATTTATAAAAAGTTACCTTAGAATTACTATATCCATTAACATATAATATTATTTGAGCTATAAATAATGTATCGGGGGAAATCATTGCAACTGGCCTAAACCTTTTCTTTATATTGTCAGGAACAGTTTCATATTTTATACTCTCTAAAAGAAAACAAAATTTAAATTACTTTCAGGAATAGTTTTAAATAAATAATTCAATAAATATCAACTTACATATATATTATATGCAAAATTAAAAATTAATAAAAATAATGGTTTTAACAGAATAAAATTTTTCATTCAAATTACTTAAACAATATTACTGAATAACATATGAGTATATGAATTAATTGTTTCTGGAAATTAGTTCAATTTCTAGAAATTGAATTATTCTGATAGATAATTATTGTCAATGATAATACAGTCAAACCCCCCCATAACATTGTTGATAATTCCGTTTTATATGAATTCCATGTTGTACGAGTCACTTAGATTTTACAAATATGTGTGCCGGGCTGTGAACGGCTCATGTATTTGTAAAATGTAAGTGACTCGTACAACATGGAATTCATATAAAACGGAATTATCAACAGTGTAACTCCGCACAAGCATTCTAATTGTTAGTCTAGCAACTGCATTAATGCAAAAGATGCCGCTAGTATTTCAAATGCATGGAAGTGGTGCTATGAAAAAAGTAATGGGAATAGCACTAGCTAGTAGATAACATTTCTACACCAGTATTTGCAACTTATTATTTATGTGTGTGAATGTAAAGATATTTTTATCACTTTATTAACATGTAAGGTAAAAAATGTTTTTCAAGATTTAAATATTTTGGAATTTTAAAATAATTTATAAACACTGTGTTCAAATTTCCAGTTTTGAATTTTATACTGGCCATTAGCCTGACGAAGACCAAGTTTATGGTCGAAAACATTTGTTTTGTTTAAATTTGTTCATACTGGGATATTAAAAAGGTTTTTTGTGTTGATTTATCTTCTCAGGAGTTGTGCAAGAGGTTGCTCCATAAATAAAAATTTAGTTGGAATATCCATCAAGCTAACAAATAAAAATTTAAAGGAGGTTAATTTTCTGGACATAACAGTTCACAAGAAAAAGAATTAGCTGGGGTACCAAGATTTACTATAAGCCAATATCAAAAAATTCATTTCTACACTGGTATTCAGGGGATATATGTAAACATAAGCAAGAAGTATATAGGGCATTGATCAATAATCATAATGCACACATCAGAAAGAGAAGATTTGGAAATTGAGCTAATTAAAAAAATAGATAATAAACAAGTTCCTCTATCATCATAAATGACCTTTTTTAGAGCATATTTTAAGAAATAGACTGAATCTTTGCTTTGTATTTTCTTTGGAAAGCAAAAGCAAGCTATTGTAGCAAAAGGTAAAGAAATCATAGAGTTGTTTCCCCTTTTTGCAAAAAAAGCAGTATATCATTTAGAAGTTCAAAGACCCTCTTCAGTTGTGAATCTTTTAAAAACAGATTAGGACAAATTAAGTGTGCTATCTGAATCAGGTATATGCAATAAGGCTTTTTTAGATTAAATAAATATTTTTTTTACATAGGATCAACATCCAGGTCAATTTAAACAAGAATCAAAGAGCACTATAGGTCAGTAGCCTGGTAATAATCATTGTGTAGACAATGATTCCTGATAGGGCTGCTAGAACAGACATATTCATTGCTTATCTTGACACCTAAATGCTATAAATACCAACAATGTGAAAGAGCTACAAAATTGTTGGAAGCATCTTCTTAATAAAACAAATTTTAGGAAAGTATCAGGTTCAAATGAAAATAATTTCATTATCACTTAATAAGGGTTCATTTCAAACTCTATTGCATTTTCTTATTACATCTCTTTATAATGCAAAGAAGAATTAAATTTTAATAATTAAAAGCTTACAGACGTTTATCCACTTAGTTAGCTATTAGTCTGATGTTGAATTATATTGTCTTGCAAAAACTCTAACTTAAAACTACATTCTTCACAATTTCAATTTTGTTCTATATGTTCCTTTCTTCCAGGGCTGTGGAGCCATGTAAAAATTTACCGACTCCAACTTTTCCTTACCATCTGACTCCGACTCCGTTTCATATACATAACAAGTTGGTAAGTAAACGGGAGTTGGAGTTGGCGGATTTTTTGACGACTCTGACTCTGACTTCGGCTAAAACACCAAAACTCCATGACTCCAACTCCGTAGCCCTGCTTTCTTCTTAAAATAATTTTTAAATTTCTATATTCTAAGGTTATATTCCATAGAACAATGGTTAAAAACAGTATTTAACTTCTTTGATTCATATAAATTGAAGATGGTTCAACAGAAATCAAAAATTTTTTAAATAATTTTTTTTTAGTATCTATACAAAGCAGTGAAAAAGTAATTCATTAAATTTGGTTTTCACATTTTCACATGTTTCAGACAATGAGGAAGGGTTTTATAGATTAAAAAAAATAGTTCCAAAAATCATCACTACGAACGATCTATGTGAAGTCTATGTCACTTAGATTTAGTCAACTGTAATTAGCTTATTCAGACATAAGCCTGTTTAATTAATGATAATTTTAATGGAAATTGTAATCATTATTCTTAACTACTGCCACATATACAACAGATTTCATCAAATCTGTTGTGTGCTGCAGTTAAGTATGGCATCTCGCAATATCAGTTGCTTGTTTTAATCACAGCCATCACATTGAATACATCCTCTTATTGACATTAACAACCTGAAGACCTCTTAGCAGTATTGTATTTCATTCTGGCAATATTATCTTCATACTGATTGACTACAATTGTCTTTGTAACTCTAACTGACATAAACTCCACATAGCACCCCTAGTGGTGATTTCTGGAACTTTTCCCATAAAGCTCTTGATTATGGTCTGAAATATGTGAAAACCAAATTTAACAAAGGTTTGCTCATTGCCTCTCTGCAGAAGGTGCTGAATAGGGTAACTTTAATTTAAATTTCCCTATATATGCTATGTAAGATATAATCCATCAACACTATAATAATAATAATAACTTAATTTGATACATACCACAATATAAAGAAGGATGAACTGTAATAAATATTCCACAGCTCTTTTTCAACTTAATCTCTTGTTGTCCAAATACAAATATATCTTTATTTTGTGAAAGAGCCATATAAACAGAATGGAACTGATATGATACAACTGACATAATTTCTTTTCTTATGTTAAAGAATCCATCAAATATACACCAAGCACCATTCTTTATTATACATAAAATAATAAATATATTAGATTTTTACAATGTTTCACATGAATTTAATGATAAATACAATGCAAAATATATAAATTAAAATCATAAATCTGTTATAATAACATTTAAAAAAAATTTTTCATAAGTAATTTATTTCTTATAAAAAGACAAAAACTAATATTGAATATAAATTTAAATATTTTACTATATATATAGAGTATATAAGATAT